TCTGCAAGCGATATGAAACTGCCTGTGTCACAGCTTCAGGGCTGGAGCCCAGATGCTGCTGCCCCATGGGCCACAGCATTTCCTGAATGCATCCTATTGACCTGAAGCGGGAGATGGGCTCTTAGGGAACATCTATGCTGCAATCAGACAGCAGCGGCTGGCCCTGCCAGCTGATTTGGGCTGGGGCTGAGCGACGGTTTAATAGTTCGGCCTGGGGCAGCAGCAGCCTGACCTCTAGGATCCTCTGCCTGGGTATGTCTACACTACAGGATTAATCCGAATTTAGATAATTCGAATTTGGGAAACAGGTTGTATAAATTCGATTGTGCGCGGCCACACTAAGCACATTAATTCGGTTTTTAACCACATTAATTCGGTGGTGTGCGGCCACACTACCCCATTACTTTAACCACAGTAATTCGGTGGTGTGCGGCCACACTAACCCTAATTCGAATTAACAAAATCGATTTAGGCGCTACTCCGCTCGTCGAGGTGGAGTACAGAAATCGATTTTAAGTGCCCTTTAATTCGAATTAACTGGCTCTGTAGTGTGGACGGGTGAAGGGTTAATTCGGATTAACGCAGCTAAATCCGAATTAAAGTCGTAGTGTAGACCAGGCCCCTCAGAGGCGCCTTCCTGCCATCAAGGGGAGCCCTGAAATCCGTGCTTGGGCGTGTGCAGAGCCTGAAGGACCCTCCGGCCATGACCCGCTCGGGGGCGGGGTGGTGGTGGAACGTGCGTGGGGTACGCGGAGAACTGGTCGAGTCCAAAGGGACATTGCTCGCCACCAAAGGGCCCTGCTGAGGCGCCACCACCGCCGGCTGGCGGGTGAGCACAGGCATTTTGGAGGGGAGTCGCACCTCCTCCCACCTTGAGAGGCGGTAACCCCTAACCAGCCAGCTCCTCCCTTGACGTTCCACGTTCAACTGCCTCAGCGCGCACGCCACGCCACGCCCCCCGGGCTGGGTGCAGACAGAGTAGAGTGGGTGGACGTAGAGGAGGCGGGTGCGCGCTCGCACTTCCCCTCACGCACGGCTGAGTAGCGGCGCTTGCGTGTTTGCGTAAGGAGTGCTGGCGGTTAACGGCCGCCGCGCCGCGGGATAATTCGAAACGGGGAGAGAGAGAGCGCCGAGCGGCTCGGGCCGATGTGAGTCTGAGGTTCCTGGGTGCGGGGCTGGCACTGGGGGCCGGGTGAGGACTGATGCCGCTGCCTGGCAGTGTCGGGGCTGGCCGAGGCGCCTGGGCAGGGGGAGGTTGGTTCTGTCACGGCTGTGTGTGAGAGTGCCGGGCTGTAGGCGGTCGGGAGTGGGGGGATGCTGGGCTGGCTTCCCGGGAGCGAGAGTGCGGGGTGGCGGCGCTAGCCCGGTTCGCAGCGGCGGGGCGGCTGCCCGAGTCATCGGGTGTCTGTATTCCCAGTCCTCCCCCGCCGCTCCGGCTGCGCCTCAGGGAAGAGCTGCCCCTAGGGGCAGCGCAGGCCAGGCTGCGGGGCAGCGATGTTGTGCGTGGCCTGGGCACTGCTCTGCCTAGGGTGACCAGACAGCGAGTATGAAAAATCGGGACAGGTGGGGGGTAATAGATGCCCATCTAAGAAAAAGCCCCGAATAGCGGGACTGTCCCTATAAATCGGGACATCTGGTCACCCTGGCTCTGCCCCAGCTAGCAGACGTGGCCTGGCTCCTTCCTGAAGGGACCTGCTTGCTGCCTTTCAAATGCCCAGGCTGTTAAATCTCACCGAGCAGTCCGGCGACATTAACAACAGACAAAACAGGGGAGATGATTCATAGCACTGACTATGAAACCTGCACCATTAACTGGGCAAAACCCTTCTATATGCTGCAAGTACCAATTGTCCTATGCCGTGTCTCGGGTCAGGGCTAGGTAATCAAATAAGACTTTTTCCTTCTCTACCGTTTTTACAAGTTTTTTTGATGAAGGGTTTTATAAATGGAATATACTTCAATTACACTGTTACAACACATTATTTGTGTTTTCACCTATTAAGTAAAAGCTGGCTTATGTGTGACTAGCAACTGAAATGTTAAATTCTGTTTAATTTCTATCTCACTTTTTCTCACACATTTCCTGCCCTGGCATATGATTTTATTGTTGCAGCTTGAGTTTTATAGTCATTCCTTTGCTCATTACCTTGGTATATACATTGTTACACCTTTGTAGCCCACTTATTATTTCTAAATAAAAAACATAACAGAGAGGAGCTACTTAAAAAATACCACAAACTAGTGATAATTTTTTCTCCTGTTTTTTCTGTATCAGAAAGTTTTATGTTTCAGCCACCAAAGTTGATGGAAGATTTGGAATAAATATTTGCAAATTATGTAGAGGAGAATAAAGTGGGATGGGTAGGTAAATATGCGTAATGACAATAAAATGCCTCAAGTATAAGCATTATTGATGGTGGTAGAAGGGAGCTGAATCTTGTAGGTAGTTATGTAAAAGGGAGAATTACAATGTAAAGAGGTAGACATGTTTAAATTTAAAGATCATGCCCAGCCTATCCCACCCCCAAGTTAACAAGACACAAGTATCAACTTCTCATTGTTTTACTCATATGTGTTGAGGTAGTGGTACAACAAACAGGTAGAGTTGGCAACTGCTTTTAATTCCTCTGTTGGGTTGGCGGGGAGCCCATTGGGAGCAGTTTGCCTATGTACATAGGGACGTCCTTTGTATCATCCTGAAAGATCTTAATGAAAATTTCACGGAGAAACTCAGCAATCGTCTCGTGAAGGTTTCTAGGGATGGCTGCCTTATTTCTTCCTCTGGGGTAGGATGCTTTCCCACTTTGGTCTGTGATGAGTTTGGCTGGCATCCTTGCAATAAACAGGCTAGCAACATGTGGGCCTGGGTGGCTTCAGGATGCCAGTAGCAGCTGTGCTGTCTGTGCCTTTGTTACCCTCAGGAGTGAGATACCAGCTGAAACCATCACCATCTGTGGAAAACTGCTAGTATTCAATGCCATTGCCCTATACCTGTGGTTCCCAAACTGGGGTTTGTGAAATGTTACAGGGGGTTCTCGGGAGAAAAAATTCCCTAATGGTGGACAGAGCTGTCCCTAGGAACCCCGGGGCCAGCAGCCCGGAGCCCCTAGACTTTGAAGAGCTAAGCAGATCAAAGCAAGCATATCTATCGCACTGAGATTTAAACTTCAAGCCTCCTTATAAGAAATGGAAAGGGAGGTGGAAGAAAGAAATGTGAACTTTGGCAGCTGTATACCCATGGAATTTAACATATTTCATCTCTGGAGTGGATAATGTAATACTTCTGCAATCTAGCCGGCTCAGTCAGCAAATTAATATAAATGTGAGGAATTTTGTCAAAATTCACAGCTACTTTCCTCTGCTCCTTCCCCCCATTAGATCTCACATTTTTGTGGAGATCTAACATTGTTTCTCCCTGGCAGTATCAGTCAAATATTTTGGCTTTTTAAAGTGAACTGTTTTACTGCTGGGGTAAGTTCTATAGAAAATCTCCAAAACTTCAAAAATATACCTTGCAAAACAAAAGTTTGAACTGGTGACATTATAAATATCAGTAATAATTTTTACCCTGTTTTTAAGGCTGGAAGCAAATGTCAATTGTTCAACTAATCCAAAGGTTTTGATTATTTTTAATGCCTGAAAAATTTGAGGCTTACTAACATAAGAGAGACCATACTAGGTCAGACCAAAGGTCCATCAAGCCCAGTATCCTGTCCGCTGACAGTGGCCAATGGCAGGTGCCCTAAAGGGAATGAACAGACAGGTTATCATCAAGTGTCACCCAATCCCAGCTTCTGGCAAACAGAGGCTAGGGACACCATTTCTGCCCATCCTGGCTAATAGCCATTGATGGACCTATCGTCCATGAATCTATCTAGCTTCCTTTTGAACCCCGTTATAGTATTGACCTTCACAACACCCTCTGGCAAGGAGTTCCAGAGGTTGACCGTGCATTGCGTGAAAAAAATACTTTCTTGTGTTTGTTATAAACGTGCTACCTATTAATTTCATTTGGTGGTCCCTTGTTCTTGTATTATGAGAAGGAGTAAATAACACTTCCTTATTTACTTTATACCACTCATGATTTTATAGACCTCTCATATCCCCCCCCCCTTTAGTCGCCTCTTTTCCAAGCTGAAAAGTCCCAGTCTTATTCATCTCTTCTCATACGGAAGATGTTCTATACCCTTAATAATTTTTGTTACCCTTTTCTGAACCTTTTCCAATTCCAATATAAATTCTATCCAGAAGAGTAATCAGAGGTAGATATGAAAGATGAATGCGGGGATTCAGCAAAGAGATCCTTGGGTAACACAGTAGTGAGAAGTGTAGTCAAGAGCTAGGCTTAATATATTTAGGGTACTGTGTTTTCTCTCCCATCATAACAATAAAAGCTGTTAGAAACCAGGCATTCCTATCAAAGGCAAGCAACTGGACTAGTAGGTATATCTTGTAGTATAAACTGTGGGTTAATTGGGCGCTACTTAGCTCTTGCTGGTCTAGGTCGTGCTCCTTAGGTCAAGGTTGAAACTATTTGGTGAGGCAGCACCAAGAAAAGCTTGAACTGCCACTGTTTGTGGCTTTGTGTAAGTAAATATTGCTGTCTGGGATGTCAAGTTATTAGCTAAAAGAAGAGTTTGGTGGAAAAAATAATGATCCCCATTTAAAAAAAAAGAAGTTCTTCTAAACTTTCTTTAAAAAACATCTTTCCTACTAAATTTAGGTGTTTTTTGTTTGTTTGTTTGTTTTTTTATTTTAGGTACAGATTCTGAAGGTTGATGTCATTATTAACCAGAAAATTAGATAGTAAAGCTATCTGAACATACTTTTTGGGGTAATAAATGATGTGGTCTGTTTCTTATGGAGTATGATTTGGATGAGAAATTTATTAATCTTACTCTTGTACCGAAATGGCTCTTCATCTGAAAAATTACACTATACACTGATTGAAAAAATGTTTTCTTTGATAACTTTGACTTTTTTTTTTTCCTAGCTTCACAAATTAAGGACCTTAGGAAAAACAAATCATGACAAGACGTGAAGCATTTCTACAAGTTGTATCTACAGATACTGTTGAAGAGTTTGTGCATTATATGCAGCTTCATGTAAGTAATCCATGATAAATATGGATAATAGTAGTAAAATCCTCCCAAGTCTATCAATATTTAGATTTTTTAAAAATCTTCCATGCTAGTAACTGCAACCATGTTTAGAATAATTATTGTGGTAAATATTAATTTAAAAATTAGTATTTAAAGTGCATTGTCAACTTAGACTACTCATGAGTTCTTCTGGCTACCTATCCAGTATACTAAAATTAATTTGTTTCTATTTTCTTCTCCTTTCCCCCACTTTTTTGAGATATTTTGTCTTCTCATCTCTCCTTCTAGTATTTTTTGGCTTCCCATCACCTTTCGTATGTCCTCTATTCATTCTATCTTTTCTCCGCTAAGATACAGCATGTGCTGTTATTGGATCTCAATGAAACTGACTTAAGCATATGTATTTGCTTAGGGCAGGTCCACACTGGGGCGGGGGATCGATCTAGGAAACGCAACTTCAGCTACGAGAATAACGTAGCTGAAGTCGACGTTTCCTAGATCGAACTAAATTTACTTACTGCAGGTCCACGCGGTGCAGGCAGGCTCCCCCGTCGACAGCACTTTCTCCTCTCGGCGAGCAGGAGTTCCGCAGTCGACGGGGGAGCGCTTCTGGGATCGATCTATCGCGTCCAGATGAGACGCGATAAATCGATCCCAGAAGATCGATCTCTACCCGCCGAATTTGGCGGGTAGTGTGGACCAGCCCTTAGTTTGCATAGGATACTTCTGTTTCTCAGCAAAGCTTAGACTGAGTTCTACTCAGTTTCACTATTATGCTGTTATGAGAGCCTTCCATGTTAGTCTGTCCCACAGGGGAAATTTAAATATGAGCTATCTGCTATCCCATGCCAGATATAAATTCCTGAGCTCCATAAAGAGATATTGAAACAAAGTATAATTTTATCAAATTTTATACATATGAACTATTAAATAGACTTTAGAGTTAAGTATTACAAATGGCAAATACCATAAATCACTGTCTTCAATTGAGAAGCTTAATTGCCAAATAACTTAATCAGGAGTAGACTTTCAAAATGGCAAATGAAGATTTAACCATGTGGTTCCCATTAATAAAGAATTGGAAAATTATATATTTCACACTACTTTGAAAATGTGCTTGTTTTAACCCTGACTCAAAAATGAAACATGATTCACTGCAGACATAATACCAAGTAACTACATTGTATGTATGTTTTATAAAACACTGTTGTGTTATATACAACTTCCTCGCTCTCAAAATATGTTCATAGAGTAGAAACACTGCTAAATTGAGCAGCTCTCTAATAGCATTGATGTTGCCTAAACTAATTGTAACTGTGGTCACTGGACGGGCTAGACTGAGAATGCTCAATCAGGGCAAACAGCAAAGAATAGGGCAGATGATCCCCAAAACTAGTGAATTATTCTATAATTAGATTTCACCAAGCCAGTAACCAAACAGCTTCTGTAATGCCTTACTCAGTTACTGGTTACTAAGACACCAAAATATAGTTCCCTTCAAGCAATCCAGCCTTTGGCTCCCACCCAGACAGCCACATCTAATATAGCGAGGGTTACTAAAAACCTTATTCACCATATATAAAGTTCTACCAATCTCAAGTGATTGGACACATTTCCGACTAGGTCAATGAATATTTCAGATCTTACCCAAATTGGCTTACAGTCAATCCTTATTAACTAAACCTTAGGTTTAGTTAAAAAGAAAACAGAGTTATTGTGGTTAAAAGATCTTTATACATACAGATATGAATAAAGTTCTTAGGTTAGTTTTCAGAGTGGTAGCTGTGTTAGTCTGTATCAGCAAAAAGAACGAGGAGTACATGTGGCACCTTAGAGACTAACAAATTTATTTGGGCATAAGCTTTCGTGGGCTAAAACCCACTTCATCAGATGCATGCAGTGGAAAATACAGTAGGAAAATATATATACAGAGAACATGAAAAAATGGGGGTTGCCATACCAACTCTAATGAGACTAATCAATTAAGGTGAGCTATTATCAGCAGGAGAAAAATAAACTTTTGTAGTGATAATCAGGATGGCCCATTTCAAACAGTTGACAAGAAGGTGTGAGTAACAGTAGGGGAAAAATTAGCATGGGGAAATAATTTTTAGTTTGTGTAATGACCCATCTTAATTGATTAGTCTCGTTAGAGTTGGTATGGCAACTCCCATTTTCTTTCTCTCTCTCTCTCCTTATTTTCCACTGCATGCATCTGATAAAGTGGGTTGTAGCCCACGAAAGCTTATACCCAAATAAATTTGTTAGTCTCTAAGGTGCCACAAGTACTCGTAGTTCTTTTTGTTCTTAGGTCATTTTCATAGCAGAGATGGCGAGGTTGCTGATTTGTAAAAATCCTTCTGAAATCAGTTTAAAAGGTATAGTCCAATAGGCAGTCCATGTGCAGAGATTTGTCAAATTCTTCCATGACAAATTGCAGGGATAATCAAGAGTAGACCTGGACACTTTAATCTTGTGATTTAGACTTTCCCTGACAAAATTTAAGCAGATCTGAGATAAAACAGGATCAGGACCGACTTCCTTTATAGGTGAAGCAAGTTGTGGTTACAGCAGGGCTTCCTTGGCTGAAGAATAGGAATGTATATTGTTGCTTTGAAGCTAATCTGTTTCCTAGGCATACACTGGTAATTTAGTTGCTTTCATTAGCATAAAACAATTAACCATCAAACCATTCACAGGTAGTTTACTACAAATTTCAAAGAGAAATGAAGACAATATTATTACACCACAAATTCCATCTAAATGTTAATATCCCCTTTTGATCTCTGAATCAATAGAATACAGTAATGAAACATAGACAGGAACAGAAGTTTAGCATCTAAAAACTAATTATATCACATTGTTAAACTTCTAACAAGATCTAGGTAAACACAGACAAATACAATTATTATCTACTTTTGATCTTTTAACAATACAGGCCTACATGCCAAGCACTTTAATCTATTTAACATGGCTTTTCTAACTATCTACAAGGAATAGCCCTGTTTTACCATTTCAGTACTCTTCTAATATCTCCTTAAGGTTTGTTAAAGCCTGCTGGTTGCTTAGCCCTCGCTGGCTCAGTGTCACACTAATTGTTCTGGGTGAATTCAGTTCCCACATGGATGACTGTTACTGAGGGTCATCTGAGGACTTTATGATGCGTGTACGCATGTATGAAAGTTAGGTGTTTGACCATTATTTGCCCTTTTTAATTATTTTTTTTTTTATTATTTTGAAGCTGGGATATACACCTTATGCCAGGGTAATTTTGGTTAGCCTGCATTTAGAAGCTAACAAATCCTGTTAGGGTTGAGGGCTGTGAGGAGGAAAGAAATTTTGTCAGACTGCGCAGTTGATATTTTGTTAGGGCATCATAATGAGATACTGTCCTCTAACATTGATACAGTTTTCAAATGTGTTGGTTCTTTTAAAATTTAACCTCCACTCTGAATTGTGCTATTTATTAATACTTGCTTTTTATATATTTCCAGCATTCAAGAAAGGAATTTACCCTTAAGTTACACACACAATTCATATACTCTTTCACCTGTCGCTTTAGACAAAAGCTTTGCTAGGAATTTCTTTATTTTTCTATGCAGTTGTTGTAGCCATGTCAGTCCCAGGATATTAGAGAGAGACAAGGTGGTACTATCTTGTCTCTCACCAACAGAAATTGGTCTAATATCTACCTTGTCTCTTTATTTTTCTAAACATTCTTAAGCCTGTTGGAGGGGAGTCTTGGTTCTATAACGCCTAGCAGCTTCACAAGAGGGGAGCCCTTACGAGGTACACAGGAGGGAGAAGGAATACTGTACTTGGCCAGGTGGCCGCTGAGTCCACTGCTAACCACAGTTTGAATCAACTCTTCTATGGAGGGGAGCTCTGATCCTGCAGACCTCTCAAGGTCCTTAGCATTTAGTGTCCCATTCTACAGAGCTTAGGAAATGAGTATGGGTAGGATTTCTCAAGGTGTTCTGGAGCTGGTGGAGTTTGGGTAGCAAGACTTAGAAGCAGTGCAGTGTACCATAGGACATTGTTTCTGTCCTTCCTGCAGGCTCCTGTCTCCAGCTAAGTTCTTCAGGAATGGGAGCGCCTATTCCTGTAGACTTTCACACTTCTATTTTCATCTTTTCTGTTTATCTTGGAATTTCTTCCATTAGACTGCACTGATTACTTCTTTTGAATGCTATCACAAACCTTTATCTAAAAATACCATCAGTGCAGGATTCTTACTTCTGGGTTCTAATTTTGTAATACGAGAATGGTGAAATTCCCTCTAGTTGTAAGTCAATAAGAACGTGATAGGAACATTTGGAGCATTTATACTCAGCAGGTGATATTGTGTGGTGATCAGTGGGGAACCTGGTTCATGATTAAGGCTACGATTGTCATGGAAGTCACGGAATCCAGGACTTCCATTGACCTCCCTGACATTTTCTGCCCTGGGGCTGGAGCTCCCAGCCAGCCCCGCCCTTGGAGCTCCTAGCCCCCAGTCTGGTGGGGGGACCCCACGCAGCTGCCCAGTGGCGGGCGGCTGCAGCCAGTGGCTGTGGGACCCTGCAGCAGCCCAGCCCCAGGGGCAGGGGGACCCCAGAGCGCCCATGCACCACATCGGTGGGGGACCCGGGAGCCCCAGCAGCAGTGGGTGAACTCACCTACCCCTTTTGTCAGAGATATTTTTAGTGAAAGGCTACTGTGAATTTTTATTTCCCATGACCGGTCCATGACTTTTACTAAAAATACCCGTGACAAAAACTTTATTTAAGATTGATCCCACTTACTATTGCCCTCAAAGATTAAAAGACTTTGAGTTAAGGAAGTTCTATTTGTTTTTTGATAAGGAGTTAAGACTTAGAAGCAGGAATCCTTCAAGTTGATGTAATCAAATAAGCAGAATTTCAAGCAAGTAATTTCCCCTTTATTACTAGGTATAATATGAAAGGTTCACAGAAGTTATAACTGAGTGTTTGACAAAAGGAGCTTTGTTTAAAATAAGCATTTATTTTATTGCAGTATGACTGTATCAATGTAAACCACTACACTTGCACAGAATAAATTAGTTTTCTGATCACTTTACAGAAGGATCCATTTGATCCATTTGATCTGAATGAATTGCTTCAGGAATTACCAAGAAAACAGAAGGAAGCATTATGGGAGAGGCTGACGCATCTATTAACACACATTTTGGTAAAGAACCCAGTGGAAGGATGGCAGAGGATTGAAGATGAAAGTGATGATGATATGGAAATAGAGGAAAGTCCAAAAATGGTAAAATAAAAATACAAAATCTTCCAATATGCTATTCAAGATGCTGAGTACTTTGAATTAGGATCTTCTACCAGCAGATGTATCCACTTAGAGATTGCACAGAATTGGTTTGTACAACTTCCAAAAAACAACTTGGGGTTTTTCAGAGTTAAAGCTCTTTAATCTTTTCTTGTTCTCTTTATAGTCCGGAGTTTTGACCGTTTCTGGGGTATACTTAAGTGACACTAACCTTGTATTAATTGATCAAATGTTATTACAAGTTCAGTCTTTTACAAATTCAGTGTACATAGCAGGAAGCCTACCAGCTGGAGCTGTGAAATTGACAAGAATGACAACCAACAGCCAATGCAAATAACTCTGTGTCTCTGCTGACACTGCATCACCCTAACTACACCTACATAAGCCTTATGCCTCTTGTGGAGGTGGAGTTATGTCGGTGTAGTAGAACACTTATGTTGGTGGGAGCAAGGCTGTGATGTGTAGTGGTCCACAAATTATAAAAATTGAAGAACCGCTGCACTAACACAATAATGCTTTACCTTATATAGCACATTGCATCTGAGGATTTAAAACAATTTAAAATTATAAGTGCATTAATCCACAAAACAACCCTGCTAAATAGATACAATTTCTTATCTCTCAAATGGGGATATGCTGCAAAGTTTGGATTGCAAACCAGGCTCGTGGTTTAAATATAAACAAAATTTCTGTATTAGTAATTAAATTAGGAATTAAATGATAAAAATCCAAAGCCTTTTCTTTGAATTTAAATTTTGTAAAAACTTTGTTTTTGCAGATATGAATGTTGTGCCACAATTGACTTGATAGTTTCCATTTAACATTGAATAAAGCAAGTGGATGTGTATCCAGAACATTAAGTTTGAGCCATGCAGACTCATTTTCTGTAGCTAATGCTTATTTTCCGAGGCTTTTTTTTTTTTCAGAATTATAGCCTATTTTGAAGCCTCTCGAGTTATTATAAAGAAAACTATTTTTCAGTTTACTTAAGATGAATTGTTTTTTAACTTTCAGAAACAAATGATAGCTGTGATCCAAGGGGTGACAACTGTAGTTACTGCTTCGATACCTGTAGTAGATGAAAATATAAACTACAAAGCTCTTCTAGAATGTGCTCTAATATTAAATGGTGGGTATTTTTCTTAATGTGGAGTTTTATATAGTATGCTGATTTTAGGCAGCACTTTAGTACACTGGTCTGCTGCTAATGGTTGAGTCTTGTTTTTGTTGTGATTTAAATAAAAGGGTGTACTTTGGTGCCAGAGACACTGATATTTTGGCCTGCAGGCCTTATTTACTATGACATCTTACTGTGAAGGATGGCAGGCAGGGGGTTGCGTATCCTAATTTGGATTCCTTATTTCCTCCAAAAAATAAGTTTACAATCCATCCCATAAGAAAAAACACTGTTTTATGTAATTCTTTTTTTTTTTTTTTTTTTTTTACATCCTGTTGGTAGACTCTCCTGTCCCTAAAAAACAAGTAAACTATCAGTTTAAATACATTGTTTCAAATCTTCATGTCCAACATTCTATGGGACAGTTACCATCTCTAAATGGAAGAGGAGATGAAGGTCAGTTGTGCCCCTACTACTTAAGAAGTATCAGTACGTTATAAACGTACAGAATTATTAGTCCTGAGGTGGGGAGGGGAGGAGTAAAGGATTATGCTGATCTACATGGCATATTATCCTATGAGAGTGTCAAAATGCAAAATGAAGGATAAATTATTTCTACTCAAGGAGCAACGATTCTCCCTTTGCTGCTTTTGCCCGCTGTGGTGGGGTTTTGCAAATGAAGACTCTGCAGCCAGTGTCAATATGACACCTGTTTCCGCCGGGCTATTTGTATTGATGGAGAGGCAAGATTGTGAAGTCAGGACTTTAGGGTGGGATTCACAAAGATACTTAAGTGCCTAGGTCTGGCCAGTTTTAGGCTCTACTGTGATTCACAACTCCCACTGAATTCTGTAGCCTCCTAAACTCACTCAGTGCCTAAATTTTCAGGGTACAAGTTTCCCTCTGCATCTATTTTCTACCTCTGGGCACATGCACTGCTGCCTAACTCTACGAGTCCAGACGCACAAAATCATAGGGTTAGAAGAGACTGTGAGGGTCATCTAGTCTAACTCCTTGCCAAGATGCAGGATTTGTGTCTAAACCATCCAAGACAGATGGCTATGCAGTCTCCTTTTGAAAACCTTCAGTGAAGGAGCTTCCACATCCTCCCTAGGCAGCCTGTCCCATGTCTCCTACTTAAGCCCCACAGTGATTCACAAACCACAGAAGATAGGTGTTTGGGCCCCGCACATGACTTAGGTAGGCAATCTGGTAGGCGTGCTCAGAGACTGCCTACTGGATTGGGTCCCATTCACAATTTGGCTGGAGGTAGTGGTGAGGCCCACTGTATAGCTTTTAGCCTGGTTGTTAGAGCACTCACCAGGAATGTGGGATGGCTGAGTTCAGTTTTCCTCTCCTCTCCCAGAGGCGGAGAAGAGCATTTGGACAAGGGTTTCCACCTCTCAGGAAAGTGCTCTAACTACTGAGCTATGGGATATTCTGATGTGGCACACTCTTGGTTTCTCCTGTTGAAGCCATTCCATTGTGAATAAGTAATGAAAGAGTGATTTGGCCAGGGAGAGAGAGACTCTGTAGCCTGGGATATGGTAGACCCAGGGTCCAGCCGTCCTGTTCCAATTATTTTTTTAATTATTTGTCCAAAGTGGAACAGCATCAGCAGGAGAGGCTGAAGGAGCCCCATGTCAGAATATCCCATAGCTAAGTAGTTAGAGCACTTTCCTGAGAGGTGGGAGGACCTCTGTTCAAATCGTTCTCCTCCTTTGGTAGAGGAGAGAGGGAAATGGAATAGGTGTCTCCCACATCCCAAGTCAGTGCTTTGACCGCTAGGCTAAAGCTATAAGGTGGGCAACTCCTCCTTCCCCAGTTTTATATGAAGTTAGGTGTCTACCTATGCCATTCTCACAAGAAACACCTAAGTCACCTAAGCTGCTTGACCACAGGATATGGGATCCCAGTTGTGAATCGCTGGTAGAAATAGTTGCTTCTCTGCAGCCTGGACTTAGGTGCATATCTTCATGAGGGGTGGGGTTTAGAACACACTCTTCTAGTCAGTATTTCCCATTGGATACCTTAGGTGACTTGCTGCCTAGTATGCTGGCTTTTGTGAATCCCATTGTATAAGGCATCTAGGCACTTAATGTAGGCTTTGTGAATCACTCTTGTTCCTGTTGTTTTCTAGGTGCCTAAAAGTTAGGTGTTGTGATGCTCAGCACCTAAATCCCTTTGTGAATCTAGCTGTTAGTGTATTGGTAGGCCAAGATCCTTGGGCCTACTGCTGCTCCTGGGGATCTGCGTCCTTAGCTTCTCAGTCACTCTCAGTCCTATTTCCTCCCAGATACACACTGTTGCAGGTTCCACTTGTGAGAAACATCAATGTTGGGGGGATGGAGCCAGCCCAGGAGAAGAACATTCATACTAAGTGCTTCACTTTAATATGAAGGAGGTGATATTGGCTGAAGTTGTTAACTTGTCATGTTGTCGATATAGTACCACCACAGTTTTTACTCCATTAGAGTTATGGAGATTTTACCTAAAAAATCAATAACATAGTATGGCCAACATAGTCTTCTGCAAAGTGGAACTGGTTAGGATTATTCAGTTTTTCCTTGAAGCCCTCTCCTCAGCAACTTGAGCATCAAAGTAAAATTAACAGGAATTAGCTTACACTCTGTTCATTTATGGAGCTGAACACCAACTGGAGTAAGGAAAGTTTTAGTATGTCATAATCTGACATTGCCTCTCTTTTGAGCAGATATCCACCAACTTCAGAATTTAAAAAAAAGCATCTCTCCTTCACATAGATATAACTATTGCTCCAGTGACTCTTTGGTCAAGAATCAGGGTACCATCTGGAAATAAATTTATCACCAACTTAATTGTGGTTTTCTAGTGCATTTGTGTAAGTTAATATAGTGCTAAGTATACTGAGTGTTTGATTTTAAATTCTGTCTATGAGATTGGTATTTTTTAAAATGTAGAGCATCTAGAATTCTAGCTGTGTGCTGGAAAAATAAAAGGGATGGGGGGGTAATAATTTAGAGATGTGTCCAAAGCTAAGCTGTGCATCTTCATCCCCAAAATCCTGTACAAAAATTCACTAATTAACTACCCCATGTGAGGTAGGTAAGTACCTTTATCTCTGTCACTATTAAAATGGGTGAATCTTATAAAATTCAATTATTGCTGAGCCAGTGTACTCTGATAAATAGCTTAGAGCTTAATAGAACCATTTATGTAAACCCAAACAACTTCTTTTTCTGTTTGTGATTGGTATTGTGGGCACCAACGTAGGAAGAGCAGAACTTTGAGGTAGGCATCATGAGACAGATTCAACTTGCTAATAGACTGTTGTGCCACAGGAGTTTGATTATACTTGCAGTAAAGAATTGCTTTGCACTCGTTGTAGGTATTCTTTATGCATTATCTGAATCTGAAAAAGTCCTACAGGGTGCCATCCAGCAATTATGTGCTATGTGGTGGGAGAAAGGACTGGAAGGAAAAGAACAACTGGGGAAAACAGCTTTTATTATGCTGCTAAGAAAAAGTCTGAAGAGCAAAACTGTTACGGTATGTTGAAGCTATGTGGATAACTTTATAATTATTATTGAATATCCAGAGTTCATATGTCTCTAAAATACCCTTCATTTTATTTGAGCTAATTGGTCTTCTCTGTCATAAAGGCTCCTAATATAATTTATACAACATATGTTTAAGGCTTATTGGGTCTAAAGTAAAAAGAACAGGAGTACTTGTGGCACCTTAGAGACTAACAAATTTATTAGAGCATAAGCTTTCGTGGGCTACAGCCCGTGTCTCCTATGATACCTGTTTTGCAATTTGTGTTTTTAAATTGTTATAATCCGGTGTAGAATGAATTTAAAACTTGAATCCTTTTGAAAATATCACGTGATAAGTTAGCCACTTCTTCTGCAACCTTTCCTGTCACTTCCTCTTCC